TCAGCGTGTGAGCATGTTGTGGGCCAGGGTTAGAAGGTCTTCTCTACACTGTCATTACTGTGTCCACGCACTCAGCAGCAGCACACACACACACACACACACACACACACAAACACACACACTGACCTGTGGACACACACATACACATTTGCAAAATAGATGCATATAGATAGGTAGATATATAGATACAAAGATAGATAAATGCTGCACGTGTGGAGCAATGTACTGATGTTTAAAAAAAAAGGTTTTTCTTGTGCAAGTTCTGCAGAGAAGCTTGTGGCCCTTGCTGCATTCTTCAGTCTCTGGTTTCGCTGTGCTTTCGAGGCAAGTAAAATTACCCCCATACATCTTCTGCCTGTGACATATTGATTGTAAGCTAAAGGAGAGGCTATCATCTCATCTGTGGTGTTGTTGTCTTCTCTGGTCAGTTAAAGTGTGTTCGCCTATTTGTTGGACATTGTTAAAAATCCATGCTGCATAATGAAACGCCCAATGAAATGTTTATCCTGCCATTGTTAGGGCTTCGCAAATGCTGACAAGCTGATTATGCAATGGAGGCTCAATGTGAGATGACTGGCAAAAAAAATTAATGCTGTGACGGTCGATGTGAACAAGTAGTAAAGACGAATAGACAAACGGTGGAGTGCGGTGTGAGAAAAAGAGAGTTTGGATAAACCGCGAGATCCAGTTTCATCACATTAACTTGTATACGGACGTTTACTTTCACATGCACACACACACAAACACTCACACTGTTCTCGTGCCTTCTGCCAGCTCTCTCCAAGACCCCGCTGACTAACAGCTCTCTTTTTCAGGAGTTCTAAGCCCCGTCTCTGGGCAGACGCCATCCCTTCCGCCCCTTCCACCTGTCAGGTGCCCTTGCCTGCTTTAATGGTGGCAGAGGAGAGGGCGAGCTGCGGGGAGGTGGTGTTGGGGAGGGGGGGGTGAACACTGGACGAGCTGCTGGATCCTGTCCCTGCCTTCGTGTGCCAGGCCTGCATCACAGTTCATTTCCCAGCCTCCTCGCTCCTCCGCTATGCTCAGCCAAGCCTCCCAGCAGGTGTCTTTCTGCAGAAGAGCTCTGCCACTACGCAGGGCTGCATCTCAGCGCTCAAACTCAGAGTGGCAGGCAGCCACCTCCACCACATAAGTAATGACCTCAGTATTCAGTGAGTTTTGAAGAAAATGTACTTAGATCTTTCTACCAAATCCCATCAATATTACACCTCTTTTCAGTAATAGTGCTTTTTACACCGAAGAACTATTACCCAGCACTTCCACTCCTAGCATTACAAATTTATGTCTCGCAGTGAACACACGCCAGTAATTATACCGCAATTCACTGCTTGAAAGCCACTAATGCATTAAAAAAAATAAATAAATAAAAATATACATACCCCACATATATATATATATGAACAGCATGTAGCAGAGCTGAAACATGGACTTGTACCATTCATGCTGCTGCCAATGGTAAATTATGATGAATATTATTCAAGTCTTATTTTTGTAGGTTGTAACTATATTCTTGTCAGTAATACTGAGTCTGTACTCACCAGATTTGTTACTTAACTCTGGGAACTTCATCACTAAAAAAAAAACTCAACGGTTGAGACCATCCTACCAAGAAAAACAACAGTATTTTCAGAACATCCAAACTCACATGTCCAAATACGACACTTATCTACAAACTGAAGCTGCAGGAATATTGTATCTTGTCAGGAACAGAAGAGGAAATAGTGTGAGGTGGATAGATGGGTCAACCAAATGTCAGAACCCCAGTTTCCTAAACTATACTATACTATACTATACTATACTATACTATATATATATATATATATAATTACGATAATATATATATAATTACGACACATAATTTAGGATTTAAGCATTGTATAATCGAGAAATAGGACGTGTAGTCTTATCGAACTAAAAAACTACATCAGTCAAAACTTTAGTTTGTTTAAAAATGGTATAAAAACAAATATTTGCTGATGTGAACAGCAGCAGAGACAGCTTTATTTATTTCAGCATGACATCACCATTTCCACCGTTTCTACTTTTTCTAGCCTATATGCAATGCACACCGGCTGCAGTTGCTTCTTAAAAGAAGAAGGTGTCCTGGTGTAACGACTTTGAAGATAAGGGCGTTGCATTGAGTACTGTCATAAAGAAGCAATCAACAAAGGCACAGCTGGACTTCTGCTGCTTTCGACTTCACCTTTTGAAGTTAATACACTGAGGCTGGAGCGCTGCAAAGCCTCGAAATATCGAGGAAATGTTTAAACTCTGTATTTACATCATTAATATCTAAGGTTCAAAGTTTTAACAGTGTTATCTCAGGATTTATTAAGCATATCAAAAACGATTCATATACATTTTAGCCTGCACTAATGCCCACCTATGTTTGTGTCAGGTTCTGGGTTACTTTATCAGCAGCGATCAACAAAGAACAAATGGCCTCCGTCGACCACAGTGCTGATTGCTGCGCTACTACAATCATGCTCATGTTTTCCTTTTCTGTGAAAATGAGCGACTACGTGATGACAGAGTGTGAGACAAAGGTGATGTTGACGCTGTGACAACACCATCATTACTTCCTCCTCTCCCTGCTACCGCCGAATGTGTGAATAACAAGATTACATTTTCTGCTGATGAGTGGAGGGAAAATGCAATTAAAGAAAGCAGGAAGCCATTTAGGGTGATATATAGTGACATCCTATTTATCATATACTGTATACTGCTGCCAGACAGTGATGCCGCATAAATCACAAAACTGTTGGTTTAACATGTGTATTCTGTCACCAGTTATCAAGGTTGCGTCTTAAACATTACAGTTTTAATTTAGTGGTTAGCGGTGACATTGAATTGCTTTGGAATAACAGGAAAAAAACATCACAGCACAAATTTATTGCTAAATTGAGGTTTCTTATTAAGCCAAAAGATGCAGAATTACACAAGGCCTTCTCCTTTACTATCATCATTGTTGTTATGTCTGTATACCACATCCCTGTCCCGCTGTTGCTTGTGGATGTGGTTACCAGGGTAACATCTCTAGTGGCCTGCAATTTGAGAGTATGGTGCCCTGTAATGTTGGCTCCATGTTACCATAGCAAATTTCTCTGTTCGACAGCGTACACTGTATAAGGGGGCTTAGTGGGCTAATGCTCTTCAGTGCAGCAAACACTAAGACAGTTAATTAGGGTTTATAGAAAAATCAATATTGTGACAGTGGTTCAAGGAAGACCTTCAAATTTATTCACCTTATTCTCCTGCTTTGACCAGTTTTATTTTCACTCTCACAAATACATACAGGATATTAAAACTGCACTACATTTTAAAAATAGTGATACTTAAAGCAATATTATCAATGCACCTTGTATGCGAGTGCTATTAAAAAAAGAAATAAAACAGCAAGCTACTACTGAAAAAGATCATTTCATAACAGTTTAAGCCGCCACCACCAAATAGTTAAATCATCCCAGCACTTTAAATAGAAAACCCACTGTGCATAGGCCCAGCTAAACAAGGAGAGCAAAGGAACCATATGCATTATACATTGTGTATAGAGTGCATTACATTCATAGCTCTCCTGAAGGGATGACTTGACAAGAAAGCTTAAGTGCAAGCACAGCCGAGAAAGCCTTTTGTGTTTTCCAAAAGAAAGGCTCTGAGAGAACATCTGAGGTATTACGCTGCAGTTTTTTGAAACAATGCAATACCTGGAAGTCGTTCAAATATAATATTTAGAGATGTAGCAATATCGCCAGCATGCAATATGTCACATGGTCAGATTTTTAAAACAAGTTTTAATACCTCGTGTATTACGTCTATTTTGACATTATGTCCTTGCTATGAACATGTGTCTAAAAAGGGTTGTGTACTAATAAAATTGTTATAAGTCTAATTAAAGTAGTCACGTGAATAATGACCTGTAAATTACGTTATTTGTATAAATGCATGAAAAGCTCATTAAAAAAAGTCTGACTGTCACAGGAGGTATAAATTAAGCAAATTCTGCCCTTAAAAAGAGCATATAAATTTACATTGCCCTTTTGAACTAAAACATGGAGTCTGCATTCACTGGAGTGCAAATTGAATGCTGTGGCTTCAGGTAAAGAAACCACAGGAAGTAAAGCTGTGGATGAGTTTATCATTCTTATGGGGCATGGCTGTCACTTTAATGGAGACGTTGACTCTTGCATATTCAAGTATGTGCTGCACTAGGCTGCATTAGCCAATCACAGATGGTGTGCGCTGCCATTGGCTCAGCCCCGGAGAGAGCTATGTGCTGTGCTGAGAGGGGGCGGGAAGGAGGGGGCTCTCGATCTCCTCTGCGCTCTCCCATTCAACCTCTGTAGTCAGCAGAACGAGAGGCTGAGCGGAGCGGCACAGCATCCACGGCTTCAGCATCCTGCAGATGACTCTGCTCCATGGAGGAGAGGAAGGGAAAAACAGAGCGAGCGCTGGAGAGAAAAAGGTAGATCCACAGATGAAGAGAGGCAGAGAAGGGGAGACAAGCGCAGCGGGAGTAAGAGTGCGAAATGAAAGGAACTGAGTAAACACCGCTGCCTAAGGACCACTGCAGTTATACTAAATCTGGAGCTGTCAGGCCAACCCTCAGCGAAGCAGTGAGTGAGAGAGGCAAGGAAACAGAGGAGGAAAAAAGAAGTGATTTGAAGAGCTGATCTCATCACTCTGGACGAGCAGGGATGGGAACCCCAAGAGCCCCTCCATCAGCAGATAAAACTTCACACAGGAAAAGTGCCTTCAGATCACCGGTCTGAACCTGCCACTTCAGTGGAGTGACAAAAACGGCAAAGGAAGAGTTATCCTGGTAGTTCCCTAAAGGTCGAACAATCCTCATACAGGATCTGTGACTACTGCACTGCTCAGCATAGCTCAAGTCTCTTCCCCCCTCAGTCCTCCTTCGCACCTGCCTGCTCTTGGCGAATGTCTTCTCTGCATACACTCCCACTGCTCGGCAGTTGAACACACTCATGGTCGATGCCAAGGGAAGGAACATGAAATGTCTGACTTTCTTCTTAATGCTTCCTGAGTCAGTGAAAAGCAAGTCAAGTAAAAGCTCCAAGAAGGGGAATGCCAGCGGCAGCTCCAAGCTGCCCCCAGTCTGTTATGAGATAATCACTCTGAGGAGCAAGAAGAAGAAGAAGATGGCAGCAGACATTTTTCCCACCAAAAAGCCGGCATCCACCACCACAGTGCAACAGTACCAGCAGCAGAACCTCAACAACAACAACACCATACAAAACTGTAACTGGCAGGGACTCTACTCCACTATAAGAGAAAGGTAAGCCTCTGGCTGCACTAGAAATCATCACTTAGAGTTTTCATCAACATTATACAGTCAGGGAAGATGAATTTGAAAATTGAATCTGGAAATTTCTCAGAAAGTTCAGCAGAGTTCAGCTTCATTAAAATTGCCAGTGTTCTGATCACAACCTCTATTAAAATCATAAATGTATCACAAAACACTCCTGTAAGGTAATTACTCCTGTGTATTGAGATGTGTGTGTTTGAGTATGGGTGGGTGCTCTCTCTGTGCCCTGCCCTCAATCTTGCTGGGGGACCCTCTGTTTACACCCTCTCCTGCTCCTGCAGACTTTGCCGCTCTGACATAACAGAGGGCGGACAGGCACCGAGTGTGTTTGATATGCACAACAGGCAGAGGCTGCTCTGTACTAAAAGCAAAATATTTACCTTGGCCTATCAGTAAAAGACCCCAGCTGTCCCGAGCAAAATGTGTGCTTTCCGACCCGGCTTTGTTGTCTCTCCAGAACATCATGGGGCTGTTTACCCACCCCTGTGACATGTTCCACTACTCAATAATATATGAACGCAGCTTTATTGTTGGTCCCATTCTTTCACAGTGGGGATTTTCCATTGAGTTCATTGTCTTGTTTCTCTGACTTTATGTAGAAAGAAGGAATAGTACAAGTAATGTAAGGGTGACAAATGACTGAGCTTTGAAATATTTTTTTGTGTTGTAGCATGCTATGTGACACTTTAAAATTAATAAAAGGTCTTTAGTCCTGGCTGAAGCTACACTACACAATCACAAAACTCTGCTTTTTAGTTTGTTTGTGCATTGATCCTCTCTCTTTAAAATCACATTCTCTTGTTGTTTCTTTCCCCCTTTTTTAGAAATTCAGTAATGTTCAACAATGAGCTGATGGCAGATGTTCACTTTGTGGTGGGTCAGCCTGGAAGGACTCAGCGGCTGCCAGGACACAGGGTAAGAATTTCATCAATCAGTAAAATCAGGGAGGAAATTAACAAACAAGCAATCAGCCAGCCTTGCCCATTGTTGTTCATATCACACAAGCATAAAAAATAATCTTCCTCACTGCCAGCGGTAATGGAACTCAAGTCCTTTGTGCTCCACTCTCACTTCCGCACCATGTGTCTTTTCGAGACAGTCCTCAATTATTTATGTAAATGAGGCTGAAGGATAGAGGCAACAGAGTGAGCGAAGGAGGAAGGGATATCCTCCTCAGCAGTCTTCTCACACAGAATGAATTGCCTTTGTCTCTGCTTTAGCTCGGCTTTTCAGAAACTGCTCTGCAATTACCCAACTTTTAATCAAACACATCCAACAGGACACAGTTTCAGTGATAATGCAGATTAAGGTGCATTCATGCGTATCTCACTTCCTAGAAGAAACTTTTGTGCTCATTTACTTGATGAGCACTTGAATTTTGGAATGACAGTACAATTAATCTAGTATAAATGCCATTGATTATTGTAATTAAGTTCGTATTTGTCTGGTTTATGTTTGTTGTGACCTGCGGGGCGCCATCGTGACTTCTTTGTTTAGTTCGCCCTCTGACCTCATTGTTCTCTCAAGATGTGATTAAGGCTTACATTTGCCTAGACCGTGTCCCTCATCTAAAAGCACTTTAATTTCTTCTCTATTTGAATATGATTATAACATCCACATAAATCGGGTAAGTGATTTTGCAGCCATAAATTTGGCTGCAGCTGTCCATTGCACATCTACAAGCTTTGATCAGCTCAGCACAGGTCATCCTTCTTGTTCTTTATATGAGACCCAGATGTATTATCTATGATTGGTAGCTGCAGTGCACTATGCGCATTTAGAGAAAGCAGTTATGGAAGGACACTGAGGATGACTTGACTGCACTTTATGCTGGGACATTATGCCAATGGGTTATAATGACTTTCAGTGGGGAGATCTTTATTGTGTCCAGTTGGCAGGAAATGCATATGCATTATGATCTCATTTATGTTTATAGTTATATCTCTCCAAGATGGGGGGATGCAGCGAAAAGCAGTGGTTTATGTAGAGATCTGTAGAATATAATGGGTCATGAGGTGGAACTAATCTCATTCTAATATGTATTTGTATACTGGTTTCTAAATCCACATAAAAGAGCATCAGTCATTCAGCTGATCTCGTCTAATGAACAAAGAAGCATGAATTTCAGAGTGCAACAACAACATCGACAACAACGGTATTGTTTCCGAAAACAAAAATTTGCAGGCTTTATTTTCAATTGGCTTCCCTGCAATTTACTTCAGAGAAACCCTGTGTTCTTTTTTAGAGAAAATTTATACCGCCCACACACCCACCTACACATACTTGTGCAGCACACACGCATATCACACAGAGACGCATACACAAACCCGAATCATAAATGTACTTGAGAACAATAAGTGTTCATAGTCTTGTATACAATGCTTATTAATGAAATGTTGGTAGGATTGTGTTGCATCTGATTTCATCATAAATACAGAAAAGCCATTAATTTCAGTAAATTGAACTTTTGTTGCACTCTGTTCAGTTGTGTCAGAGGCAATCTTTTTCATTAGAAATCTGCCTGCCTGTCCTCAGGGGAAATAGAAACTGGCTAAGCACAGCTGAGGAACTCAACAGGTACAGCCTCTCCAGAACTGAGACATTGTTCAATATTCACTGATAGATTTGTGTTTTTATGTAAAGGGAAAGAGCCACATGTGAACTAATTGGATTTATTACAATTCCCATTTCAAATAATCGTTCTCCTTTTTTCTGGATGTTAATACGTGTCATGTGGATCCCAGTGAAATCCTAGATGAACTATGTTTTCATTTCAGTTTCCCTCACTTTGTTTTCTCTTCTTTTTTCATTAGTATGTGTTGGCTGTGGGCAGCTCGGTGTTCCATGCCATGTTTTATGGTGAACTTGCTGAGAACAAGGATGAAATCCATATACCAGATGTGGAACCAGCAGCATTTCTGGCAATGCTGAAGTAAGAATTCTCGTCTGTCTAAATTCTTCATCGTCCTGCACTTTCTTCAACTACATCTTCATTACATAACTGCTATTTCAATTTGATCCGTGTGGAAAAAAAGATTTGATAAGACTAGTCTACATCTAGCTCTGGCACTTCTTGAACAAAACTGTTGAGCACATCTTTCAGCAGACAAATGAGATGTAGTGTTTCTTCTTCCTGAGTTTCAGAGATAAAAATCTATATCTGTCCGTTTTACTTTAATGCATTTCATTATGCTTCCCACTTTTCTGGCTGAATCCCTTGATATTGTTTTCTATCAACTCCTTGCCATTCTTTCATCACTTTTATTTCCGAGTGTTGTTTTCTCCGCCCTTGCATGTGAGCTACAGTAGGTGGTAGGAAAGGCGTAGGAGGAAGACTATTTTGATGACTAGCTTGATTAGTTAGCACAATAGTCTCACTCTGTTTTGAATCTTTTTCCATTGTTGTACAACATATTTCTGCACAGATGCAGTCATGCTGCTGCTCATGATACTTTAATGTAAATTAATTTAAAGGACTAATTCTAATTTCCAAATGCTCTATTTATCATTATATTTATTCCTCTATTTGGTGTCTTTTTACAAGATAATCATCATCTCAACCAGCGTGTTTCCACCATGTCAGTTTACATGTCATTCCCATGGTGTTTGATCTGTTGTCTATGAAGTTGAGAAACTCCCATTTTTACATCAACAGGTATATTTACTGTGACGAAATTGACCTGAGTGCTGACACAGTGTTGGCCACTCTTTACGCTGCCAAGAAGTACATTGTCCCTCACCTGGCACGTGCCTGCGTCAACTTCCTGGAGACCAGCCTTAGTGCCAAGAACGCCTGCGTGCTACTCTCCCAGAGCTGCCTGTTTGAGGAGCCAGAGCTGACACAGCGCTGCTGGGAGGTGATTGATGCCCAGGCCGAGCTGGCGTTACGCTCGGAGGGCTTCTGCGACATTGATGCCCAGACCCTGGAGAGTATCCTACAGCGAGAGACACTCAACGCTAAAGAGATAGTGGTATTTGAGGCTGCACTAAACTGGGCTGAGGCTGAGTGCCAGAGACAGGAGCTCACCTCTTCCACTGACAACAAGCGGAAAGTTTTGGGTAAGGCCATGTACCTGATACGCATCCCTACAATGGCTCTGGATGATTTTGCCAATGGAGCAGCCCAGTCGGGCGTGTTGACGCTAAATGAGACCAATGACATCTTCCTGTGGTACACGGCCGCCAAGAAGCCTGACCTGCAGTTTGTCAGTCAGGCAAGGAAGGGCCTGACACCCCAGCGCTGCCACAGATTCCAGTCCTGTGCCTACCGAAGCAATCAGTGGCGCTATCGGGGCCGCTGTGACAGTATACAGTTTGCAGTGGATAAAAGGGTTTTCATCGCTGGGTTTGGACTTTATGGATCTAGCTGTGGCTCCGCAGAGTACAGTGCCAAGATTGAGCTGAAACGTCAGGGAGTACTGCTGGGACAAAACCTCAGCAAATATTTCTCTGATGGCTCCAGCAACACCTTCCCAGTGTGGTTTGAGTATCCAGTCCAGATCGAGCCTGACACATTCTACACTGCCAGCGTGGTTCTCGATGGGAACGAGCTGAGCTACTTTGGACAGGAAGGAATGACGGAGGTACAGTGTGGGAAAGTGACATTTCAATTCCAGTGCTCCTCAGATAGCACCAACGGCACCGGGGTGCAGGGCGGCCAGATTCCTGAACTTATCTTCTATGCTTGACAACACCTGCATAGACATTTGACTGTTTTTCAGTGCACTTACAGAAAATAGAAATTTATCACTTTGTGCATAGTGTCACTTTCTGTTATTATTTATTTTTGTCACTATCGTGCAAAAAAAAAACATCTGATCTCAGACCTGTGAAAGGGCCTTATGTGTTTTTGATTTTAGCAAATGGTTCACTTGAGTAGGACCACATATAGGTTTCAAGATGTTGTTGTCCAAATACACGGATGAACTGATCCGAAAAGATTAAAAAATATCTTGCACTAGATGTGCATGTATATATGAATATATGTAAATTCTGAAATGTATATGATGCCACAATGGGGGCCAATGCTGGCCACAGAGATATCTTATATAATGAATATGCTACAGTATGTTTATTATTTCTATGCTTGCATAGAATGCACATATATAGCAGCAATACTTTACATTATATGATGATCATTTCATGTCATGACTCAGTCTGGACCATCAGCATCATAATATAAATGAAAAAGGCTGTATGATATTCAAAACCAACATCAAATTTAAAGTCATGATTACAATCAAGAGCACTGTGTGTCCTGTTGTAGTATGTAATACCCATTTGTATTTGAGTGGCTTCAACCGAATCTGCAGCTTTTTTGATTCTCTGAATCTAGTATTGGGGCACTTAGAGAGGGCTTGAGGGGTCTTAGATTAGGGAGCACTAGTTATAACGAGTCACTCAACCCTTACAGTATCTCTCTGTAGCATGTTGCTCTACACCTACACTCATCTTAGTCACTTCAGCAAGGTTTTATTTAGATCAATGTCATTATGTTTACAGTGAAAATTAGGACTTGAAATGATTACCTTTCACCGCTACATGGTAGAGTGAAAGATTTCTTTGGTTTTCTATTTAAATCTGTCTGCATTGCAGTACTTACTTACAGCATTGGCAGACCAGTTCCATTTCATCTGATGTGTACTACTAATTATGCTGGCGCCTTCGTTTTGTTTACAGCAAAAAAAGATTAACGATTGATTCAGTGTTCGAAGTTGTTTATCTTATGGACTTTTACTTCTCTTTGTTAAAAACCCTGTGCACTCTGAACTGCTGAGCACTCCCTCTCAATGTGATCATACAGTATCACTATTTGCAGAAAGCATACTGTATATGCTACAGAATTGCACTGACATTGGTTTGTAAATGAATTTGTCATTTTGTTTTACTTGAGGCAGATTTTTATTTTATTAGTTTTGATTTACTGTGCTACTGAATATTCTTTCTGGTGTAGGATAAACATCCACAGGCTTGTCTGCTCATGACAACGGATGAGGAAACTGGTGTTCATGTCCCATGGTTACGTGCTACAGCGCTGGGAGACCAACGAATGTGTATGGTTGTTGATGATGCAAATAAACAAAAAGAGTGGTATATGTTGGTTGTGTTTCCCATCTGTAAAAAGTGATAACGCTACATACTTTGTCTGAAATTAAGAGCTGGGGACAGATGATGCCCTTCAGCACTGCAGTGATGTACAATGCCAAGTAGAGATGTCTGCTGATTGATGGTGCCTGTCTTCATGCCACTTAAACACCCTGCTTTTGCTCTGTCAAAATCTAACTCTATCCTGCATCCCACTTAAGTATGCAACATTACACCTCCTCCTCGTTGATATGAATTTAAAAAGAAATCTATGTTTGGCTTTCGGAGATGTGCAATCACTTCTGTAAAGGTGTGAAGAGATAGACAGCATGCCAAACAATGTCCACAATCTTGAATTTTCACTGAATGCTATCATAAAGAGTCGCTCCTAGATAAGGGCATCACATGAGACATGGAGATATTACACTCTCAAACGTCTAAAAACCTCCACATATTGAATTCCCAGCCTAATATTGTGGCTGTTTGACCCACAGTTGATCTGGATGTGTCTTTCCGGTGATGCAAAAAAAAAAAAAGACACCACGTCTCAAAAGAGGATTTCTGCTTCGTCATATCTTTGTCTGAGAAAGAGTCGTTCTTTGAAAGTAGGACACTTATGTCAAAGATAAAGTTAAAAATTCCAATCACAGATGCCATTCCCATAATAATCCAAAATAATGAATAAATGAAAACATAGATTTTTGACTTTCTTTGATTGCCGTATATGTTGTAAAACCCTAAAACAAGATGATTCAAACCTTGAGATGAATTACATCTTTTCGAAAACATAATGTTCAAAAAGACAAACCCTCCTGGGAGTTTATGGTAGGTGCTTGATTACGAAGGCACTCAATAACACTGAGACCAAGTTTGACATCGCCAATGAGCATGAAGCCCTTGATGAATTGAACTCAATATGTTGGGGGACTCTGTGTTTCAGTGCGATTTTTCATGATTGTGGCGCTAATGTTGTAAGCAAGATCATTAATTGCACAAGAGGCGGCGAGGGACTAGAATGTGCCAGGAGTCGGGTCTGCTTTCAGCAGACACACAGAGACAAACATGGGTATTTTTCATTTTGCGGCTGCAACTGATCTACAGCAGCAAAATTAAAATTCAAGTATAGCTTAGATTTTGTTAAATGTTAAAAAAAAATTAAAAAACAACCTCATGCAGGGACACAGAACTCTAAAGAGATATTTTTTCTTTTTTTTTTTCTCCTGGAATAATTGCTACTAAAACCTTTCAATTTGCAATTTTTTTGGTGTTTTTCACAGTCGGCTCAGTAGGAAGGGTAGCTGCCAGAGACTACCAGCTCACTGCCAGAGCTGTGGTGGGAACAGCTCTGCTCTTCATGGAGTTATTACGAAAAACGACTACTGAATCAATAGCAAGACTTCAGTCAGCACTTGTGTTGGGATATGTGCAGTTCCAAAATTCCCAAAACAGTCCAAGATATACTGTAAATCTACCCTTGACTCATTTTGTACTAAGGCTATACTGTACTTGATGAAAACTTATTTTTATTTTACGGGAGGTGACAATTATTGTGGGAACGCATTTTAATTATATGAATGAAAAGCAATTAAATCCTACAGGGCTAAGAATAAAATGCATGGTTAGGCATCTAATTATAATTAGTTTGTCAGTAAAGGGAAACATTGGAGAGAGCGTGTATTACTGATGAGGATATCAGTGTCAGTGTTTTCCTCTAAATATAAAAAGTGAATGACAAATATCTCCCATGTGTTTTCAGATTGCTCTTATTATACAATGCTGGCAAGGATTTTAACATTGAATTTTTCATATATAAATGTCTTCAGTCTTACGTCCGTTTATGGGAAGATGGCATGCAATATTCATCTTTGACTGTGAATTCTTAATATAACATTGACGGGCTTTTTAATAAACATATGGCTTAGCAGGGGAAGGAAAAAGGGGAAATGGAGTTGGTGGATATTGACTCAGACTGGGCGCATATTGCCCAGGAAAATCTCACTGAGGGTTTAATTACTGTTCAGTACAAATTAAGGATAAAAAGATCCAGTCTGACTTGAGGGAGAACTGTGGATTACCACTGATCAACATTCTTAATGCACTCCGCGACTGATTGTTTCAAGTACAGATACGTCTGTGAACAGAATCCAAAGGTCTAACGGTAGGAATGGTGCTGCTTTCTTACTCTGAGGTTAACATGTAGCACAGAAATATCACATTACTACTACTGGGCATATTAATGTGGTGTGTGGTGTGGGGTTAAACAGGAGAGAAAAGTCTACTGAATCCACCCATGCAAAAAAAAAAAAAATCCCCATGCTTCACGTACAAGAAAATGGTGAAAGAAACCACATTCTGCTGTGTAACCGCATCAAACATGGGTCTGTTCACTGCAGGCAATCGCATATCCACTCCTCAACATCCTGATAATTTCCATTCCAGCAAAATGTCAATGAATTAATAATGGCCAAAGAGAGGAGGGAAACACAGCTGTGGGTTTAAAGAATTCATCAAAGAAAATTATTTAAAAATGTGTTTTTTAATTCAACAAATCTCGAAGGAAATCTCCCTTTTCCCCTACCTCCCCTTAAACCATATGTTAAGCATGTATCCATTTAACAGTGTTCAAAGTGCAGGTTACATTTCACCAATGTACTGGTAAAGTGCAAAAAAAAACAAAAAACTGCCCAGTACTGTTAGTGTTATGAGAGCAATTGGCAAGGGCTGTTGAAGGTTACAATGAATTGCTCGTAATCCTGACAGATATAAGAGTATCTGAGTCCCACACAAACCTTATTGCACTAACTTCAGGCTACTGGCAGCAAGTCAAGCAGGAGTGAGGGATAATAAATGGGAAAGGGGCAGACAGCGGTAAGTGGCAAACTTCTTCTGACTAGTATTCAGGTAAAGTCATCATTCCCTTGATAATCATCACATAGATTATCAGCAGACAGCCAAAGTGGCAATTAATCACACGTGAGAATGCCAAAAGGTCACAAAGTTCAGATGCAAGGTGCAGGTCGAGGCAAGCCAGAAGACAGGAGTTTGACTGATGATAGCCACCATCGCATCCCCATTCCCAACACCGCAGTGCTAAAGACCTGCAGAATGTAAGAGACATTATTCCAAATAATCTCATATCTCACCGCTGCCTCCAGTCGCATGCGGTTGGGATGCACGGCAGGACCGAGCCCGCGATTGTGTCTTTCATTTATCTATTTATTTATTCATTGCTACCAGGCAGAGCTAAATCGTTTCAACAGGCTAGGACACCGCGAGGCCGGCTTTTATGTTAGATTAGCCTGTTTATAGTGATGCTGCTCCGCTCCAGATGGATCAATATGGCTCGGATTTCTGGAGGTAAGTGCTGCGAGTATCAGGTGAATTATGATTACAGAAAAGAGTGGAAATACACCTTTTTGGTGGACAATGGGAACTGCGGAGCCCATTCAAAGCATGCAAATAATACAAGACAATTTAGTGACAGGATATCAGGCGCACACTGGAAGTAAATTGTATTACCTTCCAACGGCGCAGAGGTAAATACCCCGTTTACATAATTGTGTGTTTGTCCTATGAAATACGATCCCAGAAGGTATATGAATGC